TGCGGTGTTCGTCATTGATTTCATACCACAAATCACAGTGGTTTTGCATGTCTCTCAAAGTTCAATTTCCTTAAAAAGTACGCGCGTACTTTTACTGGATATGTAAAAAAGCTCAGCGGCACTCTCTTTTTTTCTGCGCTAAGTGTTCTTCACAATTTCTGCAGTGAGCTTGCAGAGGTTTTTGTGGGAACTGTTTTCCCATCTCCACTGCCAAGCGCGAACATGCGTCCAAATCTTGCCATTGAGCAAGACTAACGTAGACTAACGTAGCATCATATATGTGAGGAAGTGCAAGACGATATACAGTAGCGTTGCATCATGTATGTGAGGAAGTGCAAGACGACGTACACTAGTGTAGCATCATATATTTGAGGAAGTGCAAGACGACGTACAGCAGCATAGCATCATGTATGTGAGGACGTGCAAGAAGACGTACAGCAGCGTAGCATCATGCATGTGAGGAAGTGCAAAAAGACGTACAGCAGCGTAGCATCATGTATGTCAGGCAGTGCAAATGAACGTTATTACCCCACCCCACCCCGTTAACCCCATGAAAGACATAGAAACATGCAAAACGCTGGTTCGGTTTTCAACCCGTAGGCTAAAGTATGGATCACAAGGCTCTTGGGTCTAGCACGCTAGCATGAAAACTTTTCCCCGTGAATCCCGCCAGTCTGATCACCTCAGTTGGTAAACCACCATCGATTTTTTGGGAACAACCTTTGTGGTCCATGTGTCCAGTGGTATACGTTTGGAAATAGACAAAGTCGAGCCGCTTTTGACCTTGCCACGCGATCATGAAACCTTGACCTTTGGTGACGCGTTTTCGCAACAAAATGGAAGGAGTGGATAGATATGCGAATCAGGTTTGGAAAGTTTGGGTTTGCACAAATCATTTATAAAGTTCTCTTGATATTTTGACTCAAGTGCCTTGATCCAAAATAGCAGGATTTTTCTTGTTTCCTCACCCAGGACCCGGGGGTGGTCTTGAACCTTGAAGGCTCAGTATGAGCTAGAGTCTGCGCTAGCAACGCAGTAATCAGCGAGTTTTGGGGGCCTCTGTGATACAGAGAGCTTTTGAGTATTCATTAGCGTTCTCGTGGTTACGAGAGATTTTTGTGAAATCAGGCTCATCCCTGGAAGGGCCAGGGACGAGGACTTGTGTGTGGTCAGACTCATCCATGGAGTGACCAGGGATGGATATGCCAGGGAACTGGCTACGCTGATCAGGCTGCGAGGCTGCAGCTACCCAAGGCAAAACCCGCAGAGGGCAAGTTCATGTGACTTAGCCACTTAGCCGTTGCCTCGGAAAGCTTCAGATGAGAGAGAAGAGCGTCTTCCTTGTCTCTGTAGTAGCCTGCTAGTGCGAAACTTTGTAAATGTGTTGTAACTCTGACTTCGCCCCCAGAGCTTCAAACGCGTCTTGGAAACAGAATGCTTTGAAACTATCCATGCTGGGTCTATTTGCTGACATTTGCGGTAAACCTTGTTTTTTTTTAACGTTCGTATGCATTATTGCACGTCCGTAGTCGTAATTCGGCAACATTTGCGGAACTATAATTTTACCGCAACATGCGGTGAGCATTTTTCCGGATTCATTTTTGTTTGAAACTCCTCCACATTTGCTGTGCTTGTGATGTCAGTTGCTGCAGTTGCATGTTTGTATATATATATATAACGCGTGTTTCTGTATATTGGTTATATGTATACCGTGGCGATAGCCTCACGCTAAGTAGATGAATACATATACTTGGCGAGGTTTCGACTAAATTTGTAGAGCGGTTACGCGAGCGTAGGTTCCGTGTTTTTTCCTGGGAGGGTCTAGGGAGGGAATCTACTTACGCGACTAGCACATCACGGTTCATCACGTTTTGTCATGGTATTTTCGACGGGTTCACTGTTTTCAAAAAATGATTCGTCACGATTTGTCAAGATTTTGGCCTACATATCGATTCGCATGCGCATTTTCGAAACAAAGGATGTTTGCGCTTTTTCATCGATTTCCCACACAATTCAGTGGATTTCCGACAGATTCCAACAAATGTCACCAAAATCAAATGTAGATGTAGCCGTATTTTTACGACATTGCTATTTTTGATCTAAGATTGCCGGCATCGATTCTCCGGGATTTATGTATCGATTTTGCTATTTTTTTACACATGATGTGGAAGTTATGCGCCGATCTAAGGGGCAGGTATTTTTCCATTTTTTTTGGACAGATGACATGGGAATAAATGATCAAATTTACACATGACATGGGACTCAGGATGTTATTGTCGATTTTGGATTCATTTTGGAAAACAATTTTTGGAGGTTCCATTTTTGGGGTGCCATCTGTGGCCCTGTCCGCCCAGACAATGGGACAGCAGGTCCCTGACCTAACGGGCAGGTATTTTTCAAATTTTTTTGACACATGACATGGGAACAAATGATCAAATTTACAAATGAGTTTGGACAGATGACATGGGAATAAATGATCAAATTTACACATGACATGGGACTCAGGATATTATTGTCGATTTTGGATTCATTTTGGAAAACAATTTTTGGAGGTTCCATTTTTGGGGCGCCATCTGTGGCCCTGTCCGCCCAGACAATGGGACAGCAGGTCCCTGACCTAACGGGCAGGTATTTTTCAATTTTTTGACACATGACATGGGAATAAATGATCAAATTTACACATGAGATGGGACTCAAGGTATTATTGTCGGTTTTGGATTCATTTTGTTTTTTTTTTTGGGGGGGTTCCATTTTTGGGGTGCCATCTGTAATTTTACTGCCCAAGATGGCACCTGAAAAAAATGGCGCCAGAAAAAAAAATCTACTATCTGGGCGTATATTGGGGAAGATGGCGCCTCAAGAATGGCGATTTGGTTTCAGAAAAAACACTGGGACTTCTGTCCTACTGTCCGGACGTATATTGGGGAAGATTGCGCCCAAAGAATGGGCATTTGGTTTCAGAAAAAATTGTCAGGCATTTCTGTCCTACAATCTGGGCGTATATTGGGGAAGATGGCGCCCCAAGAATGGACATTTGGTTTCAGGACAATTTTCAGGGACCTGCTGTCCCACTGTCTGGGCGGATAAGGCCACAAATGGCACCCCAAAAATGGACGTGTTGTGGCAGGACATCTTTCAGGGACTTCTGTCCCATTCTCTGGACACACATGGTTCCAAAAATGGTTTTCCAAAAAGAGATTGACCAAATGGGAGGAGCAACTGAGCACTTTTTTGAGAACAGAAAACTTAAATTTATTTTCCGTCTTTAGTACGTTACGGAAGTTGCTCAGTTGCTCTGCGGATTCTGCCAAAGATGGCGCCCGAAAAAATTGACAATTTTGTACCAGAAAATTTTCAGGGATTTTTGTTCCACTATCTGGGCGTATTTGTGCCAGGGACTTCTGTCCCACTATCTGGACGTATAAGAATTTGGTTCCAGGAAAATTTTCAGAGATTTTGTGTCCCACTATACTGCCAAAGATGGCGCCCGAAAAAATTGACAATTTTGTACCAGAAAACTTTCAGGGATTTTTGTCCCACTATCTGGGCGTATTTGTGCCAGGGACTTCTGTCCCACTATTTGGACGTATATTGCCAACAGGAAAATTTTTAGAGATTTTTGTCCCACTATACTGCCAAAGATGGCGCCCGAAAAAATTGACAATTTTGTACCAGAAAACTTTCAGGGATTTTTGTTCCACTATCTGGGCGTATTTGTGCCAGGGACTTCTGTCCCACTATCTGGACGTATATAAGAATTTGGTTCCAGGAAAATTTTCAGAGATTTTGTGTCCCACTATACTGCCAAAGATGGCGCCCGAAAAAATTGACAATTTTGTACCAGAAAACTTTCAGGGATTTTTGTCCCACTATCTGGGCGTATTTGTGCCAGGGACTTCTGTCCCACTATCTGGACGTATATCGCTAAAGATGGCGCCGAAAAAATGGCCAATTTGGTTCCAGGAAAATTTTCAGAGATTTTTGTCCCACTATCTGGGCGTATATTGGGGAAGATGGCGTCCCAAGAATGGACATTTGGTTTTAAAAGGACTTTTTTCAGAAGCAGCCGCGGCTGCACTTTCTGTCGAGGAACTTCTCGAACATGGTAGATTGCAGCTACTTTGCTTTTGTTGACGCCTTCGCCGTTTTCGCCTTCTTCGTCCTGGACTTCGCCGCCGTCGCCGTCCTCATCCTGGACTTCCGCCGCCCGCCCTCGTCGTTTTCTTCCTGGACTTCGCCGCCGTCGCCGTCCTCATCCTGGACTTCGCCGCCCGCCTTCGTCGTCTTCTTCCTGGACTTCGCCGCGTTCGCCGCCTTCTTGCTGGACTTTGTCGTCTTCATGTGCCTTGCCTCGGGTGTTTGTGGGCGTCCGATCTGGACTGAGGAGCAAAAGGTCGAGACCGCATGGCTTTAATTTAATTGTTCTTGAGAAGGCTCACATGGGGTGGTGACAGCTTTGTTATCCAATACCAGCTGAAGGGAGTCAAAACAGATCGCTTGCGGCAAGAGAAGATTTGCCATTGGGTGCCCGTGTTGCGTCACTTTGGCCCTCACCATGTGCATGTGCGAGCTGAACATTTGTGGTTTGTTTTTGTCGTTTGTTGAGTTTGAATGGCCCAAACTGACACACGAAGACGCGTGCGTGGCATGGCTCCAAAAAGGAACACCGAGGCGAGATCACTTGGGTTGTGGCTTTCAATGATTGATCGGGTTGTCTTTAAAAGGTTGATTTTGAGGTCCTAGTTTTGGACCCTTGAAAACCAATGCAAAATGGAGACGCTTGTTGGGCCTCCCCGGTGCTGCAACCGCTTCTTCGCAAAACCATGCTTTGTTAGTGCAAAGTATCGGCGAAGTGTTGACTCAAAGGTTGACATACCTATCATATGACATAGGGTTTGCGATGTTCTTCGAAGCTATTTGCCTTTGTGCACATGTGTCTTGTGTGGCTGCTTTTGTCGATGTCAAGCCCAGGCCAATTTCCGTATGCATTCGTGGCAGCCATGGCCGCTGTGGGTGGTGAGCTGAAAAGTGTCGTTCAGCACCTGCGAGCTTTGCAGAGAAGATTGTGCAGACGCAAAAGACTTGAGCTTGCCAAGGAGGAAGGAACTAGCGACCCCCGAGAGCATGTGATGCTCAAAGTACAGCCTACTGCAACATCTGTTTTGGCTGTTTTCGAGTTGAGCGGCAGAAATTCTGCTTGTGCTGCACGCTTTTTGGCGGCCAAGAACAAGTTGAATGTGGCAGAGGCTTCCTTGTCAAATTCTTTAGCTTCTGCAATTGAAGATGCCTATTTGCAGGTGCCTTTCGAAACCATTGTGGGCCTCTTAGATAGTCCCACATGCCCACGCCACCGTCGTGACTTGTTTGCGGCGGGTCGCTTTATAGTTGAAACGCAGCTATACACATGGCTGCTTGCCCAAAACAAGAAAGGGGTTGCACCTGGGAGGCAACAATTAGTAGCAGAAGCGTGCAGGCTGACTCCAAAGGATTTGCCGCATGATGTGGCAGCCATGCTGGAGCAGTACTGGAAAGGCAATGGACGCGCAAGGTCACAAAGAAAGTGGTTGCGCCGCTTTCGTTTTGAACATGGTCTACAGTTGGGCCGCGTGCGTGTGCAGGCAGTGATGCCTCTAGCAGACATGCAGCGCAAGGCGGGAGAAAGTCATTGTTTTGGATGGTTGAAATGAGAAAAGATTCGATATGGATTGTTTTTGTCAAAAAGGTATTTTTGGTCGATTTCTGGGGGCCACTTTTGGACCCTCCTGGAGGGACCGTTTTTGGGCCCTCCCTTGCTTGTGTTTAATAGAGGGTCAATTTCATGATCTCCCAGAAGGGACCATTTTTTGACCCTACAGTCGGCAGGCGAAAGCTTTTTGGAGATGGAGCAACTACGTTCATGCACAATCAAGCAGCTCGGGTCCTCTTCTCTTGCTGAACATGGACGAAACTTCCATTGCTTTGAAGCCAACCGCGAAGGTTGGCACTGCCGCCCGGGGCTTCACAGGGCACAAGGCTGTAGATGCCGCATCTTTGGCTGAGACGCGGGCTCGGTTCACATTGATGTGCACGATTTGCAATGACACGTCTGTGCAGCCATTCCTTCCGCAGGTTCTCCTCACGAACGGTCGGTTTCTTGGAAAGAAGGCCAAAGTGGAGAAACTCAGGGGCAATCTGTCCGTTTGGACCCAGAAAAGCGCTTGGTCATGCCATGCTACACTGAGACGATATATTTCTTTGCTTGGATTCAAGCTCAAGGCTGCAGCTCCGGGCCGTGACTATGCACTACTTCTAGATTGCGCGCCTTCTCACTTGCACGGTTCCATTAAAAGGCAAGCGAAGCTCAACCATATTCGTTTGGTCTACATTGCAGCTGGGCTCACACGTTGCCTTCAACCAGCAGACACAGATCTATTTTCGCGGCTGAAGGAGAAAATCGCAGAGCTATATCGTTCACAGCAATCAATGAGTGTGGACGGAAAGATTTCGCCTGCCCAATGGCTGGAGATCTTGGGTTCATCTTTACAATCAATTCTACCAGCTGTGAAATGGAGCCGGGCCTTCGCCAAGGTTGGTGCTTCGAATTGGCAAAAGGATGTGTGCCAATCTTTACTCTTTGAATTCGGTTGGCCAAGTGTACCGACCATCCCACCAGGGCCTCCGACTGAGTCGGAGGCCCGCGACATTTTCCCTAAGGGAAGAAGTAAGCTGGATGTTCTGTCCTATGTGCATTGGAAGCAGCCAGCGGCCAAAGGTCATGTTCGGCTGTACAAAGGCAAACCCATTAGAACATTGGATTAAACTGCTGTGGAAACACCTTTTGGAACGGTGCTGCAACCGCTTCTTCGCAAAACCATGCTTTGTTAGTGCAAAGTATCGGCGAAGTGTTGACTCAAAGGTTGACATACCTATCATATGACATAGGGTTTGCGATGTTCTTCGAAGCTATTTGCCTTTGTGCACATGTGTCTTGTGTGGCTGCTTTTGTCGATGTCAAGCCCAGGCCAATTTCCGTATGCATTCGTGGCAGCCATGGCCGCTGTGGGTGGTGAGCTGAAAAGTGTCGTTCAGCACCTGCGAGCTTTGCAGAGAAGATTGTGCAGACGCAAAAGACTTGAGCTTGCCAAGGAGGAAGGAACTAGCGACCCCCGAGAGCATGTGATGCTCAAAGTACAGCCTACTGCAACATCTGTTTTGGCTGTTTTCGAGTTGAGCGGCAGAAATTCTGCTTGTGCTGCACGCTTTTTGGCGGCCAAGAACAAGTTGAATGTGGCAGAGGCTTCCTTGTCAAATTCTTTAGCTTCTGCAATTGAAGATGCCTATTTGCAGGTGCCTTTCGAAACCATTGTGGGCCTCTTAGATAGTCCCACATGCCCACGCCACCGTCGTGACTTGTTTGCGGCGGGTCGCTTTATAGTTGAAACGCAGCTATACACATGGCTGCTTGCCCAAAACAAGAAAGGGGTTGCACCTGGGAGGCAACAATTAGTAGCAGAAGCGTGCAGGCTGACTCCAAAGGATTTGCCGCATGATGTGGCAGCCATGCTGGAGCAGTACTGGAAAAGCAATGGACGCGCAAGGTCACAAAGAAAGTGGTTGCGCCGCTTTCGTTTTGAACATGGTCTACAGTTGGGCCGCGTGCGTGTGCAGGCAGTGATGCCTCTAGCAGACATGCAGCGCAAGGCGGGAGAAAGTCATTGTTTTGGATGGTTGAAATGAGAAAAGATTCGATATGGATTGTTTTTGTCAAAAAGGTATTTTTGGTCGATTTCTGGGGGCCACTTTTGGACCCTCCTGGAGGGACCGTTTTTGGGCCCTCCCTTGCTTGTGTTTAATAGAGGGTCAATTTCATGATCTCCCAGAAGGGACCATTTTTTGACCCTACAGTCGGCAGGCGAAAGCTTTTTGGAGATGGAGCAACTACGTTCATGCACAATCAAGCAGCTCGGGTCCTCTTCTCTTGCTGAACATGGACGAAACTTCCATTGCTTTGAAGCCAACCGCGAAGGTTGGCACTGCCGCCCGGGGCTTCACAGGGCACAAGGCTGTAGATGCCGCATCTTTGGCTGAGACGCGGGGTCGGTTCACATTGATGTGCACGATTTGCAATGACACGTCTGTGCAGCCATTCCTTCCGCAGGTTCTCCTCACGAACGGTCGGTTTCTTGGAAAGAAGGCCAAAGTGGAGAAACTCAGGGGCAATCTGTCCGTTTGGACCCAGAAAAGCGCTTGGTCATGCCATGCTACACTGAGACGATATATTTCTTTGCTTGGATTCAAGCTCAAGGCTGCAGCTCCGGGCCGTGACTATGCACTACTTCTAGATTGCGCGCCTTCTCACTTGCACGGTTCCATTAAAAGGCAAGCGAAGCTCAACCATATTCGTTTGGTCTACATTGCAGCTGGGCTCACACGTTGCCTTCAACCAGCAGACACAGATCTATTTTCGCGGCTGAAGGAGAAAATCGCAGAGCTATATCGTTCACAGCAATCAATGAGTGTGGACGGAAAGATTTCGCCTGCCCAATGGCTGGAGATCTTGGGTTCATCTTTACAATCAATTCTACCAGCTGTGAAATGGAGCCGGGCCTTCGCCAAGGTTGGTGCTTCGAATTGGCAAAAGGATGTGTGCCAATCTTTACTCTTTGAATTCGGTTGGCCAAGTGTACCGACCATCCCACCAGGGCCTCCGACTGAGTCGGAGGCCCGCGACATTTTCCCTAAGGGAAGAAGTAAGCTGGATGTTCTGTCCTATGTGCATTGGAAGCAGCCAGCGGCCAAAGGTCATGTTCGGCTGTACAAAGGCAAACCCATTAGAACATTGGATTAAACTGCTGTGGAAACACCTTTTGGAACTGGGGGGGCCTCCATTTGTGTCTCCGGTTTTGCGTGGGTTTTGTAGGCCCAAAAACAGACACTCAGTCTTGCCCATAAATCAACTTCCATTCTTGCTAATGTTTCACCCCTGGTTTCCTACACCTATGGATTCGCTTCCCATTTTGTTGTCCATGGGTTTTTCCCTCCTTTAAAATCTTTGGTTTCCCATTTGCAATCGTCATTGCAGGCGTTACTTCATGAGGAACTCAGTGAAGTCAAGAGGCGCCGCACGGAACTGAAAGCGGAGCTGCGCGCGGCCTCCAAAGAGGACAGGAAACTCCGCAAGCGTCGTGCAAACCTTGTCAAGGCCTGCAATTCTTGCATTCGGGCATGCAGTTCTTGCATGTCGCCTGGTTGTGAAGCAGTGCGCTTTCAGAATGTGGGGGCTGTTGAGCGCAGGCAGCTAAGAACCTTTCACGCGAAGACATAGAGAAGCTGTTGGAGAACCAGGGTGCCCGGCCGTGTGTTTTGTTCCCCACTAGTGGTCCTTTGGTGGTATGAGCATAGCCACAGTCCGGGCAACCTTCGTGTTGTAATTTTTGCAAGTGCATATGCTTTGAAATCCTTTTTTCAAAGGGTTTGGGTTTGAATCGCTGTGGCAGCAAAACAGTTTTACTGAATCTTGCTGCGTTTGCCAGCGCAGGTGGGCCAGCAGAACCTGCTGCAGGTGGTGCTGCTGGTGGATGACTGCTACCAGCTGTGACATGGAGCTAACCGCCTTCAAATCCGCAAAAGGATGTGAGCTAATCGCAACGGCTTTTGGTTGGCCAAGTGTACCAGGCATCTCACTGCCGCCGCTGACTGAGTCGGAGGGCCGCAACATTTTCCCTAAGGGAAGAAGTAAGCTGGATGTGGCAAAACATTTTGCAAGTGTGCTGCAACCGGTTCCAAGCCGTGCCACAACATGCATGAGCCAAGCGGGTAACATGTTGTCACTTGCTGCCTTGCGATTGTGCCTGAAAGAGCCCCCTTACCATTTCCACAACTAAAAGGGTGAACACGTGCTGGATACCATCCCCTGTTACGGGGAGAATTCATGCAACAAAAACGGATTCCTGCACTGGTTTTTGTAGTAAGAGGGCATGCGCTGCATCTTGTAGCGGCTTGTCATTTTTTTCGAAAAAAGCACTTGAAAATCGGAAATGCATTTTGTAGTGATTTTTGTTAGGATGCTTTGACAGAATGCACGCAGGGATCCTGAAATGCTTTCTGTTCAAGACACCGCGGCTGAAATGCTTGCAACAGAGCAACTGTGGCACATTGTGGCATTCAAACCAACGTACGTCAAAAATGATCGGATTATTTAAATACTTGAAAATTGTAGCTGAAATGAGAAAGTCCTGGAGCTAGACATTGGATCATTTTTCGACAGCTTCGCTTTGATGTTCATTTTTGACTAGGTTTTCATGGTGTTTTGACTGGGTTGTCACCGGGTTGTCCTAATGCTGCAGTGAACGGGCAGACCTTGCATTTCTAGTAGGATGTGGCCATGAACTGCATGGACGGAGCGTCTTGCTTGGCCAGCGGTACTCACTTGCTACTAAGCGGCAAGGGGTTGCCATACCACCACCAAATTACCGAATCTCTTATTTGACAACGGCTTCATGGTATTGAATTCCAGCCGACTGTTCAGCGATGCGGCCAGCAGGAAATATTAGGCAACATGTCATTTGCATGTTTCAGATGTTTCAGATTCTGTTCCAGTGTTGGATTCATAAGTTGAGGCATGGACGGCTAGCGGCTAGCATGGTCTCATGATGTAAGGTACTCTCCAGGAGATGTTGGTTTAAAGATCTACGTCTCTGGAATCAATGTGGTTCAACCGAAAGCCACGCTTCCAAGCATTGCAGAGTTCCTTGGAAAATATCTGTTTACGGCAAGTTTGAAACATCCACTTCACAGCTGGACATGGTTCGATGTTGTTGCTGGTTTAAGGTTCGTGCTGACATGCCCGAGCTGCTCAAAGGTCAGTTGCTCAAGATGATTTGGAAGAGATTTGGTCGGTGATTTGTCTTTGTCTAATTTGTGTGCTAAAAGATGGTGACCATGACAAAAATCGATCGTACTGTGCACCTGTAATTCAATGATTGGAGTGATTTGGGACATTCAAGTTTGCTGTGGGGGTGTCCCAAGGACACTACTGTATTTTTGGCCAGCAGCTGCACTGAGACAGAGGCGCATTTGTGGTTACGTACAAAGAACAAGACATCCATGGCATTACTTTGGTCCATCTAAGTTTTTGTTGACATGCTGCATTACTACACCTTGTGTGTATGTAACCCAGTCGTTTCATGACAATAATATCATTCCTATATACTGTATACATTCCTATGATATGCAGAGTGCTTGTTTTCGGGCGCTGGGAGCAAATGAGGGTAAACTTAAGAAGAAATATATGGTGACCGATCTAAAGGTCCTTGTAAGGAGTTTTAATTGCGAAAGCCGTGCATGTTATGTTGGAAACCCTCGCGAAAGTTCGAGTTCGCGAAAGTAAAATTTTATTTCGCGAAAGTTTCGCGAAAGTTGGGTATTATAATAAATATGTAAAGGGCTGCCACCCACTGCCGCCCGGGGTCCGGCAGGAGAAGGGCACCAGAGAATGCGAGTAGCAGTAGCCAAGTTTCCAAAAGTGAGGCTTTGCGAGAGCCAAGCACCAAGGCCCCTGGTCTTCGCTTTTCCTTCAGTGCACCCCCTGCTGATGGCCGGGGTCTGTGAATAGGGATATTTTCGCGAAAGGTCCGCGAAAGTTATGCGAAAGAGCGGGCGAAAGTCAAAGTGCATGTTGAAGGGGGTGGGCCAGTAAACTTTGCAAAAGAAAGTCTGTCCTGAGAAGGGATTCCGTGATGCTAGCTGCATGTTTAAAAGGCTACCAAGAAGTGATCCGTGATTCTCTGGCGTAATTTGGCAGGTGGTGAACGAATCTTCATAAGAGGTGTTGTTGGCCAACATGGGCCCCGCGAAAGATAAACATGGAATTCGCGAAAGTTTCGCGAAAGTAAAATTTTTATTCGCGAAGAATGGCCGTTCCGGGAGAAAGGAATTTTGATCAACAACCATATAGAGATCCTTGATGATCCTCGTCAGTCCAGCAACCAGCTGTTTCGCCATTTGCAGGAGTTTGTTCAACTTTGTTCGAGCTTCATCTTTTGAGAGATGAAGATGCCTTTTGTGCCGGCTTGCCCGAGCTGCTCAAAGGTCAGTTGCTCAAGATGATTTGGAAGAGATTTGGTCGGTGATTTGTCTTTGTCTAATTTGCGTGCTAAAAGATGGTGACCATGACAAAAATCGATCGTACTGTGCACCTGTAATTCAATGATTGGAGTGATTTGAGACATTCAAGTTTGCTGTGGGGTGTCCCAAGGACACTACTGTATTTTTGGCCAGCAGCTGCACTGAGACAGAGGCGCATTTGTGGTTACGTACAAAGAACAAGACATCCATGGCATTACTTTGGTCCATCTAAGTTTTTGTTGACATGCTGCATTACTACACCTTGTGTGTATGTCACCCAGTCCTTTCATGACAATAATATCATTCCTATATATTATATATTGTATACATTCCTATGATATGCAGAGTGCTTGTTTTCGGGCGCTGGGAGCAAATTTGGGTAAACATAAGAAGAAATATATAGAGATCCTTGAGGATCCTCGTCAGTCCAGCAACCAGCTGTTTCGCCATGTGCAGGAGTTTGTTCGAGCTTCATCTTTTGAGAGCTGAAGATGCCTTTTGTGCCCGCTTGGCAGCTGCAAGTTCTTCAATCGGCAGTCCAGCAACCAGCTGTTTCGCCATTTACAGGAGTTTGTTCAACTTGTTCGAGCTTCATCTTTTGAGGATGGACACATGGCTGAGACAAAGAACGTGAAACGACTGATGCCATGTTTTACACATACTCATTCAACAGGATTTCAGACGTTCTAATCCATTACATGTTTTCTGTGACATCCGTGGGATGTGAAAAAATTAGCGAGTCAAGCATAGCCCCTGCGCAAACGAACAACGCAAAGAGCGCTGAACGATCTATAACTCCCAAAGAACGATTGCATGGAAATCAGTTCATGTGTGAAAGCATGCTGGAATGTGAAGAGTTGGTGTACACGACATGATGGTGGATACCTGTTCTAGAAGCATCTAGATCATCTAGGCTCTCAGTTGTGGGGTATACGTCATGCCCAGCTCACACAATGGAAGATGTGCAAAAGCATGCTGACATTCTTGATCCTGGCCAATTTCTTGATCTCTGATTACTGCAAACGGCTTTGTATCCAATCACGTATTGTTATGTGGTAACTGGCTGGATTTGGATGCTCTTTTGTCTCCCCATTGTTGAAGCCGTCCGGATGAGCGTTTTGTACTTTCGTGCTTTCATGCAAGCAGTGACGATGACAACAGGACTCCTTTCCAACTTTCCTTGGTTCATGCCGTTTTCCCAAAAATCATTCCCTCTTTGAACAACAACGAAAATGAACATTGAACCGATCAGCATTTCTTGACAAAATGTCCTTCGTTGATGGATATCGGATAGCCCAGATGCGAAAAGATTCTTGAGATGATTCTTTGCCGTTCAATATTACCACTTGCTTATTGCGATCTTTTCGCTGCTATGCATATTCTTTCGCAGCGCTCCATTACTTCAGCCAATTCCGGTTCAGCTCGAGCACAACTGCACCTGCAGGTCCGATTTGACGATCTTTATCCTAGTTGAAGATAGCCAAGGCAAAGGCGTTGGACAATGTCGATGGTTTGCTGCGGACGCTGGCCAGTGAATGAAAGGAATGGAGCATGTCGCTGTGAGAGCTCATCCGGACTTCTTCCAACACACTGAATTCAGCTTGTTTCTGAGCTTGAGAATGGATGGTGCAATTGTGATTTGCAGTTGCAGGTGCAGGTATCATACCACAGCTGG